TCCACGGGGAGGGCAGGGCGCTCAGCGCGTCCAACTAGACTCCCAAGTGGAGGACCGGGTCGAGGAGCTGCCCAAGCACGCAGTGGGAACCCCGCGGCGGCGCCCCGCCGTCCCGGGCTTCCCTCCGCTTCCTCCCGGCCACCAAGCGCCCCCACCCCCACCCCCACCGCCGGGCGGCGCGCGCAAGTGCTCTCGGCGGGTCCTCCCCGGCGACCGGCCGCTTCCCCGCCGCTTGCTCAGTATTCTTCTTGGGGGTTTTGGGGTGAGAAGAAGCGCGCGGGAGGAGGGGGATGGGAGGAGACGCAGAAATACCATCTGTGCCAATTTTTTCTTAAAAGTAATTTTTTTTTCAATTTAAATACTTTTAAAGCAAAAAAAAAAAAAAAAAAATCCCCAGCTCAGGGTGTCAGTTCCAAAAAGTTTCACGGAGGAGCGGCATGGGGGCTGGGCGGGAAATTGGAGGCGGCGTTGGTGGAGCAGGGGCCTTTCTCCTCCATCCAGCCTGCTGGAGACTCATCCCCGCAGGCCCCCACTACCCCACGCCCCAGCTTCAAGCGCGAGCGCTCACACCCAGGCGCTCACCGACACCGCCCCCCGCCCCTTCCCGGGACTGGGATGGTCCTGGGTTCTCTGGCCGGGGAGGTTCGGCTGCTCGCCTACCCCGACTCACGGTCCACGGACTCCCTCCTCAGCGCTCCTTTCTCTGTCTCCCCCGACCCACTTTTCTGCTCAAGGGGTCAATAAGCAGAGGGAGGGGGGCCGAGCTAATCTCGCTCTCCCGGAGTCTTCCTCACCTGGGGAGCAACAGGGGAGATAGTGAGAGCGGGTACTGCGACAGAGCGCCTGGCCTGGGCAGCGGGCGGAGGTCCGTGCCCAAAGCCACGACGCCCTCCTCTCCCAGCCCCGGTCCCGGCCACCACCATCCCTCTCTTTCTGGTCTCCCTCAGCTCAGCCACCACGCTCTCCTCAGCTTCCCAGACCCGAGCGCGTTGGGGGTGGTGACGAGGTTTGGCTTGAACTTGGGGAAGCGGCGGAGGGGCAACAGGAGGGTGTGTCCTGGGCAGGGGGCGCACTCGGCGCCACCCCTGCCCCGCAGTAGGAGCTGCTGCTAGAGCGATGGCGCTGCAGGCCCGCTCTCCCTCCCCCGTCGCCCCTCCCTCCGCCACCTTGCGCTATTCTAGTAGCGCCTCCCGGGGACCCCAGCAGCCAGGCGGAGATTGGGGGGTGGGGGAGACAATCTTGTAGGTTCGAGAAGGGCGCGAGGGAGTAGGGAGGTGCTAGAAGGGGGTTAGGGAGGATCCAGGTGCACAGAGGTGCCCGCGGTGGGCGTGAGCCCAGACCTACCTGGTCCAAAGTCCCCCGGCCCTCCCCCACACCGTCCCCTCCCCCCATCGACTGTCGCTGGGGGAAGTTAGATGGGAGGCTGCAGGGTCAGCTGTAACTGCGTGCGTGTGTGCGCGCGCGCGGTGGCAAGTGCGGGCCCCGCTGCCTCTCCCGCCTCCTTCCAGGACCCAGCCGGGCTCGACTTCTTTAGCTCTCCTCGCGACCTCACGTTCCCCACCGCGGGTGCGTGCGTGCCTGTGCGCCTCCCGGGCACCGCCACGGACCCCTTTCCTTCTTCCTTCCCCTCCAGCGCCCCCGCTAGCGTAGGCTCCTTCTCTCCACCCTTCCCCCCAGGGTCACTATAGGGACGCGAGGGAGAGATTTGTGTTTAATTATTACCGCTATTCAGAGGGAAGAAAAAATAAAGGGACCAAAGGCAACCCGAAAGCAATTTACTTCAAGCCTTTATTATTGTAGTGTAAAAAGAAGTTTATATACAGGGAATATTTCCAGTAAAACACTCACTAAATGGCCTTCGGATCAGGGGCCCCCCGTCTTCTGGCCCCGCAGTCGGCAGCTTTGCCTGGGAGACCCCTCGTTCGGGGTTCCCAGGCTCTTCCCCCACCTCTCTCCCCCAGACTCCACCACTCAAACCCCGTGTGCCAGGAGCCCCAGCCCCTTCCTTCTCCCTGGGGCGCTGCGAACCTCGCCAATGCCTCCCAAGCCGTTTTCCTCTGTCCCGAAGCAGTTCCCCAACCTCCCTCTCCCACCCCGTCGACGCGGTTTCCACATGGAAACCCAGAGCACTTTCCCCTCTCGTTTTAGGCGCTACTGCGAGCCTCCTGCAATTCAGAACCAGCTCGTGGTCAAGACCAGTTAGAGACAGTTCGTCATCAGCAGCGGGGCTCGTGAGCACCGAAAATAAAGGGAGGGGAAATAACCCTGCCTACCCCTCCCCACCCCAAACCTCCTCCCCCAGCTCGGGGACAAGAAACAGACACAAAAGCAGCAGGGCATCCCTTCCCCGTGCGCGACAGGTGTGGGTGCCAGGCAACTAAGGCGAGCGGCTCGCGCTGCTGGAACCCAGCTGCGCTCAGGGCGCGCGGGCGCAGCCAGTCTCTTCGCGCGGGGCCACTGCGCCTGGCTAAAGGCACACTGGCTATTCTCTTCTGAGGAGGGCGTGTGAGATCGCGTGGCAGGGGCCGCTGCGAGGACAAGTCCAGGGGCACACAGGCAAGGGTGGCGCTGCCTCCGCGCTCAGAAGGGGGTTTAGAGCGAGCCAGGCAAGTACAGGCAAGGGCAGTCACAAAGGCAGAGTCTGGGGGGGGGGGCGGAGGAGAGTCTTCAGGTGGCTTGGCCGAGAGCGCAGACTCAGCCTCAGATCCATGGCTCAGCACAGCTTTGTCACTGGGCCCTCACCAAGCCTGCCTTTGTTTGGGTGCGTTTGCACGTGGGCTTCGAAGGCTCGAAGGCATGGCCCGCCAAGTTCAGTCAATTGTCCATTGGCTGTTTACACTCGACGGGTCTGAGGGCCATGCAGCTGCTCATCGTAGCACTCCAGCCAGGTGCGCAGCTCGGAGACCTGGTAGCCATCAGGGCCACGGCCGCCCTGGTACATAATGGTGCCACTCTGGATTACATAGAGGCGCTCGAAGTAGGCGCCGTAGGCGGAGCTGCTAGAGTTGGCCATGGTGTCGAGGACGAGAGAGCATTCGGGAGCACCTTGCTGCAGTACCCGCGCTGCGCTGACCCGGTCCTCCAGGCTGCGGTGCTGCGGGATGCTGTAGGGAGAGTCCGTGGTGACCCAGCCGTCCGAGGGGTGCGCTTCCTCAATGTAGATGATGAGGAAGTCGACGTCGCGCTGATACTTGGTGACCAGGCGCTGGAAGGCGCTCATCCGCGCCATGAACGGTGGTCAGGTGCAGCTACCGAAATTGAGCACCAGCGGGCGGTTTCCTCGGGCGTAGTCGAGGATGTGCTGGTTCTGGAAGCCGTCGGGCAGGACCACCTCGGAGTTGGGCGCTGGACCGCCTTCGTGTGCCTGCTTGAAGAAATCCAACTTCTGGCCGTGCCACACTGCCCTCAGCGACGCCAGGGTGCACAGGCGGTTGTCGTCGGACACGCAGATAGGCGGGTCGTCGGGGGGCATCTCCTCGCCATCGCTGTTGAGCTCCACTTCAGTTTGGGGCTGACCCCGGCGTCGGCGGCCCAGTAAATGCTTGCGGATGCACAGGAAGTCGAGCAGCCAGAGCATGAAGGCCGTGCCGAGGAAGCGCGGGAAGAGCACGAGGCACGAGGCGGTCTGGGCGCAGAGCCTCAGGGAGTGAAGCAGCAGGGAGCGGAGCATGGTGGCGGCGCCCCCCAGTGCTCCCTGGGACCCTCTACCTTCCCCCACCACCAAACGCGGGGTGGCTTGGCGAGGCATCTGGCCTTGGGCTCTGCGGGGAGCTCAATTTATAGCCGAGGCTTCAATTGGCGGGAGACTCCACCTCCGGCCCGGGTCCGCCCCCTTGCAACTGGAGCCCGGAGGGATCGCCCGGCGGCGCGGCCAGTGCCTTAGAAATCGCGGGCCGAGCGCTGGCACCGGCGGCCGGAGGGCGGGGCGGCCCGGCCGGGGGCCGGCGGGGGCGGGGCCGGGCCCCGAAGCCCGCTCGCGGGGGCGGGTAACCCGGACCTCAGCGGGCGCCCGGGACGGGCAGCTGAAGCTGGGACCCGGTCCGCGGCGGAGCTCCTCCGGCGAGCGCGAGCGCCGCGCCGTCCCGGTCCCGGCGGCCCAGCTCCGGCCCGCGCTCCCCTCGCCGCGCACCTGAGCCGAGCTCCCCGGCGGCCGCCGCGCTGCGCCGGAGCTCCGGTTCGCTTCCCGCGCGCCGCCGCCAACGCCGCCCCCGCCGCTGCTGCTCGTGCGGGGCCGCTGCCCAGGTGCCGCGGGAGGCCGGGTCCGCGGCCGCCGCTTCGCCGGCCCTGGCTCCCGCCCCGCCAGGGACGCGGGCCCGCGAGGAGGCAACTTTGGGCCCCCGCCGCCTGCCGCGTTCGCCCGCGGGTGCCGCTCGCCTCCCGGAGCCCGCCCGCCTCCCGCGCGCGCTCACACTCGCGCTTCGCACACGGCCGCCCCCCGCATCGCCCCGCCACGCACACCGCGCTCTGCGACCCCCGCAGCCGCCCGAGGCCGCCGAGCGCCGCCCCGGCCGCGCCCGCCCCGTCCCATCGCGCCCCGGCTCGGCGCCGCAGTTCTCGGGTCAGCGGCCTCCGGGGCCCGGCGGGGAGGTGCGGAGGGCAGGGCCGGCGGGCCCGTTACCGCCTGGCGCCGGAGACGCAGAGGGCCGGGGAAGGCAGCACCGTCCCTGCGCCCCAGCTGAGTCGGGAGCGCTCCGGGCGCGGGATGCGGCGGGCGCGGGGCGCTGGGCGGCGGGCGCGGGGCGGCGGCGGCCCCGGGCGGCTCTCCCACTAGGGGTAGCTGTTGCCTGAACGCCGGAGCGCTCCCCTCTTGCCGCTCGTCTCGCCCGGCGCAAACCCGGCCGCCGGGCGCACCCGTCCCGTGCGTCCCCGGACGTTGCTCTCTGCCCCGGGAACGTCGAGACTGGAGCGCCCGCGCTGAGCCACCTTCGCTGACCCGGAGCGCTGCGGCTCGACTCACCGCGGAGGCGCCGGGACGCGGGAAGTGCGTACTCTCAACGGGGAATGTGTGTGGAGGCTTTTAGGGTGCGGGGCAACTCCCCAACTCCGTGGGGCCGGGGTCGGCCCTGCCGCCGTGTCCGAGATCTGCTGATGACTCGCTGCGCGCGGCGCGGGGTCGGCGACTTGGGGCGGCGGGGCGGGGAGTACCTTGACCTGGGGTCCCCGAAGCCGGGAGCCAGGCCCGCCGACCCTCGGCCCGCCTTGCCCCCCGGGGCGAGGCCTGGACTCGGTCGCGAGCGATTTGGACCCCTGGGGAGTCGAGCCTCCCGGGACGCCCTCGCGGTCGCGGGGACTCGTCTGGGGCGGCGGTGGCTGAGCCCGAGTCCGGCGCCACTGCCGCCTGCGTCCCGTGCGCCACCCGCCCCGGGGACCGGCCGCCTAACTTCTTCCCGGGACGGAGACAGCGCTCGCGCCCCGGGCGGAGGTGGGAGCTCGCTGGGCCGTATCCGGCGAGGGCACCGCTCTCGGCGGCGGCGGCGAGGACACAAGTCCGGAGGAGTCAACCTCGGGGCAAGGAGCCCCCAACCTAGGACTCACCGGGCCCCAGCGGGCGCGGGGGGAGATGCCCATCTTGGGCAGAGGTCCTCTCCTCCGGTTTTCGCGGCCTTGGCGGGACCCTCTGACCCGCGAGCTCCCACCTGGGACCGTGGCTCTAGCAGGTCGAGACCCGAGTGGAAGGAAGGCCGGGGCGTGAAGGTAGACCCTTTGCTCTTTCCTCCAGCCAGGCGATTTCTCCGCTGCCTGGGGTGGCGGCGTTGGGGGCTGCGCAGCCGGGGAACTTCCCACCGGAGGAAAGGCAGCCTCCTCCCCGCTCTTCTCAGCGGCCCCGCACCGCCCCTCACCACCGTGGGTAAGGGGGCGTCTTCAGGTGGGTTAGGGAATTCTCCCCGATCCAAACCTGGCTGGGGGGGTGGCGTCCCCCCGCCTGCTCCCCACCCCCGCAGGGCACCTCTGAGTTGGCGAATCGGTTCCTTGCCTTATTTTTTGCGGGGGAGGTGGGGGGAATAGGGAGAGAAGTCTTCTACTTGGCTGGTCTCTGAGAGGCGTTCTGGGGGCCCGAGGTTGCCCCTTCCCGGGCAGGGGCCGAGGAAGTCCCAACTTTTGTTGCACAGACCCTCCAGCCCTGCTTCCTTGATTTCTTCGGGGTGCCAGTCTCGGACCTGTGCCCTGCCCCTACCCACACAGGAACTGGGCTAGGGGCATGGGGCAGTCCCCCCTACCCCCTTTCCACATTTAGCCTCAGAAAATTAAAAAGCCACCATGGGCTGGGAGAGCCTTCGGAGCTGCCTGGGATGTAGCGGTGGTGGTGGTGCGTGGGGAAGACGTGGGCTGGCGCAGAGGCAAGACTGGTCCCTCTGGACCCTCTGTCGGCATCCAGCGAGACCACCAACCCACAAGCCCTCTGGCCCCAGGGAGGCTCAGGACAGCAGTGCTTTGCCCTCAGGGCTGTCAGCTGTGCCGGTGGATGTGCTTCTGTTCCTTGGGCTGGCAGGCTACACCTCACACCTTGGGATTCCAGGACATCGGACAAGGTGCTCAGGACCATCTGGCTCCCACAGACGCTAGTGCAGGTGAGGACAGGCCCAAGGTCCAGGTGACACTGGCCTTTGGGACACAGACCCTGGTGTGGTGACTCACTCCAGTGCTCTGTGCCTCCGCCCCATTCCTCCCTCCCTCTGTCCTCCCAGGCAGCCCCTGCCCCCTTCCCCACCTCCCCAGGGCCCTTCCTACCAGCTGCCCATCCTGCCCTGACCTGTCCTGGCCCAAGGCCAAGTCCCACCTGGGACTCTGGGAGCACTGAGCCTCAGGCCCAGGGGGACCAGAGTTGGAGCTGGGGCTGTGCCCATGCCACTGGGCTGGGCAGACTGGCCTCCTTCCTGCCTGCCCTCCAGCAGCTCCAGCAGGGGGCGGGCAGGGGAAAGAAAGGGAAAGACAAGTTGGACTGGGTCCATTTGGTGTCCAGGAGCAACTTGGACACGGGCTAGGGGGAGGGGCAGGCAGCTGGGGCCCTGGAACATCCGGGGCGGGGTGGGGAGGGCCTCCCCTCTTCCCAGACCGTACTCCGGGGGCTGGGTACCCACACAGGGAAGGCTTGTCTCCGACCCCTCTGCCACACTGCCCCGTGTGGGGCTTGGTGGGTGGGAGTGCGGTGGGCACGGCCTCCGTCTCCCTATGGGTAGAGCAGCTCCCAGCGCCAGGGAGGCTGACGCTGAGACTTACCATGGGGCGGGTCCGGCCACCCTGCAGAGGGCCTCCTGGAGCTCTAGGGAGGAGAAGGGGCAGCCGCCGGCACACCTGCCGAAGAGGGTCGCAGAGTGACGGCTGTGTCCTGGCTGTGTCCTTGCCCAGCGTCATAGTGACCTGGCTTCTGGGCCCCAGCCCTCCTTGGCTACTGACTCGCTGTCTCCCCTGCCCCCTCCACTGGCCTCCTGATGCTCTGGGAGATCCCAGGCCCTGTCCTGCCTCTGAGCCTCCCTTCACGCTGTTGCCTCTACCCTCCTCCCTCCCCTGGCGACACCCATTTTTCCTCTTCCTCTGCCTTCACCTCCACCTGGGTCCAGCCTGCCCCGTCCCCACTGGGGGAGCTGAGCCCTCCCTCCTCGCCTTCCTGTGCCCTCTCCCTTCGTCACAGCCACGTCCTCAGCCCGGGCATGTTTCACCACTGATTTCTGTGTCGGCTGCTACTCAGGCCCTGCTGGGATCCTCCGCAGTGACTAACCTGCACCCAGCACCCCGGAGGAGCCCAATAAACCTTTGTGAAATGAGTACCTGCGTGCAGCGTGGGCTAATTGAAAACTCGTTTCAGGCGAACTTCAAGATATTTTATCCTGCCCTTTTGCGCGCTGGCAGGCAGCTGTGAGCGAGGTAGGGCGTGTCTGCGGCTGGGCAGAGTGCGGACTGGGGCCACGGGCAGGCAGTCCCCGGGAGGTCCCCTGCAGGCGTGCTGTCTGCTGAATCCACCCGTTCCCCGGCCGCTGGCCCATCGGTTTCCCTTCCTGGGATAAGCAGGTCCTCCCACGGGTACCCGGGCCGTCCCCCAAATGTGCTCACCCTTTCTTTTGCTTCAAGAGTGATTTCTTCTTTCCAGACCTCCCCTCTGACCCAACCTCTCTGGACTCCAGCTTGGCTCGGATGAAGGGTGGACGCCCTGCAGGTGGGTTGGTGGCTGCGGCCTCAGCGGTCTGGCCTTAGAGGTGTCCTTGACACAGAGGGTCTCCATCCCTCTTCACGTGACACACCCCGGCCGGGCACCCTCCCGGGAGCTGACGGTGGGGCCCTGGGGTGGTTGGCAGCCTGGGACCCAGGGCCGGAGAGCTTGCTGGGGCCCCAGAGCTTGGATGGAGCAGGTCTGTTGGCAGCATCCCAGGACTGGGGGAGGCCCGGGGCTCCCGGTCGAAGAGAGGGGAAGGCCTTGAGGTGAGGCCCTGGCTACCTGCTGGTGACCTGGCTGTGTCCTGTCCCTCCCTCTGGCCTCATCTGCACTGCAAGGGGGTCGGATGGCTGCTTTCCAATGCCTTCCTGTGCTCTTCCTCCACAATTCCAGAAGGTTCCAGAAGGTTCTAGGAAGTCCTCTGGGCCCTGCCCCTGCATGCCGCTCTGGGGCTGATGAGACCCCCACTTGAGGCCAGAAGGTGCCTGTGGCCTCAGGTCCTCAGTACCTGCTCCCAGCCCATCTTTCACCTGCCCCGTTCCTGCCGCAGCCCTGGGACCTCACATTGTGGCCCATCCTTAACTCTCAAACCCGGCCTGGCTCTGACTTGTTCTGCCCTGAGCTCAGACCCAACTGAGCATCCTCCACGCTGCCTAGGGTTCGGCCAGACCCTGCGGAGGCTGGGCCGACTCCTTGCCCAAGGGCCCGTGTGGGAGGCCGTGGCTGTGGGACCTGCCTGGGGCTAGAGGGGCGGTGGGAGGCTTGGCCACTCGTGTGACGGGCAGACCCTGCTCTGAGCCCTAAAGCTGGCTGGAGAGCCGTCTTTGGGGTCAGTCTGTCCTGTCCATCTCTTACCCTTTCTGGAAAAAGGTGGGGTGCAACCAGCCAGCAGACTGGCCCCCAAATCGCTTTGCTTCTCCAGGTCTCAGTTTCCTCGACTGAGAGGTGAGCCTGACGTTGTGGCTGTGCTGTATTCATGTTACCGACGCCGGGCAGGGCCCGCTGTGCACGCGTGTGCGTGTGTGTCTGTTTCCACCCGGCCTTGTTCTGAAGTGCACTTCAAGCCTCTTGCAGGAAGCCATGGAATAGCCCGGGTGCCACAGGTGAGAAGAAAACGTGCAAACGAGGGGAAGGACCCGCTCCCCACTGGGGACGCAGTGCAGCCTCAGCATCCTCCACACGGGCCATGGACCCACCACAGATTCTGCCTTGAATATCCTGGTGGTTGAACCCAATTGGCTCTGACTCCCAATGTCCAGAAGACAAAAGCGACGGTCCAGCTGCCCGAAATGTGCGCCTGTGGGTGTGGCCGTGCTGGTCGGCATCCCGGCAATACAGCTTCGGAGGCGAGCCAGCCTGGGTCTCTGAATCCGGGGATCACCGTGGTGCAGACACCCCAGGGCTGTGTGCAAATGAAATGCCATGAGGCCCGTGGCTGCCAGCGTGGAGGAGCTCAGAGCAGACGGGAACCCTTGCCCGGCATTGCTGAGGGCTCAGAGACAGCCAGTGAAGCGGCGAGGGTAGCAGTGTGCTCCCCAGGGATGGCTCGCCACGGACCCGGCTGTCTCGTGGTGAGAGTGCCCTCCTGAACTGTGTTGGGGCCCCGCCCCCTGCCCCCAGTCCAAGCCCTGGTCCATGCCAGGCTCCCAGAGGGGTCTGGGTGCACAGGGAGTTAGGCATGGTGTCTGCCCTCCAGGAGCCTCCCAGCCCAGCCAGGTCCCTGGGAGGGGTAGGTGTGCTCGTGGCAAAGGCCCCTTGTCTTCAGCGAGACCTCCAGGAGCTGGTGGGAGACGCAAAGGCTCAGGGAAAGCAGGGTCTGTGTGGCTCTGCGTGTCACAGCAGCCTCCGTGTCACTCTACCGTGGCCAAGGGGTGTGACCTTGGGCAAGTTGCCTGAACTCTCTGTGCTTCCTCTCATCATCTATGAAATGGGCAGATCATTCAACCCCACCTTTTCATGAGGTGGGAACTTTTATTCCTCCCATTTTATAGATGAGAAAACTGAGGCTCAGAGAGGTGCTTTACCTAGGAACACATAGCTAATGTCTGACTCCAAAACTCACACTCAGTGATTAACAGGAGATGTCCAATCAGTGTACTCTGGGGACAGAAGGGGCCTACCCGAGGAGGGAGGGGAACTGGGCGGGGGGAGGCTGGGAGGAGGGGATGTGTGGCCTCTGAGTTTGATGGGAGCCCTGGGGAGAGGAGGTCAGCTGTGGTCTTTGAGGACACACTGAGTTGGAGGTGTCTGCAGGTCTCAGGAGAAGAGTCCAGCACTGGGCGGGGGTGGGGGTGGGTGGGCAGAGGGTCGAGCTCAGCATCACGGGCATAATAAAGCTTTGCTTTTGGAATTTCACACTGTGTGGGGACAGGTGGTTGCTGACAAGCAGAGGGAACGTGGCGGGAGGGATAAACTCCACGGTGCCTTGCCATTGGCGGAGAAGCCAGCTAACCCCGCGCAGAGCGGGCCGAGTGCTGGGCTGCTGGCCCCGAGCCAGCGCAAACACTTCTCTGAGGATGGCGTTTCCAGGGCCTTTGGGCTGTGGCAGGGTGTGGATGTCCATTGGCCAAGGCCGTCCCGTAAGGACCGGCCTTTCCATCTGAGGGGTCGCTCTTGACCTTTGGAACCTCACAGACTTGATTCAAATCCCAACTCCGCCTCCTATAGGCTGTGTGGCCTTGGGTGCGATCCTGACCCTCTCTGTGCTGCAGTTGCTCATCTCTGAAGGAGGGTGCTAGTACCCTCTGCTTGTGGGTTTGTGGAGAGCTCAGGAGGGCGTGGACGTGGTGCGCCCGGCACGTGGCAGCTGTCTGTATAGGGCTGCTTTTCCTTTGCCAGTGTCTGACGGATCGGATGGAAGGGGTTGGCGGCAGCTCAGCTCTGAAAGGGTGAAATTCACCGGCACTGGTGGTGTCACAGGGTTTCATGGGCTGTGAATGGGGGTGGTGGTGGCGGTGACCGTGCAGCCAGAGTGGACCAAGAAGACCCTCCCTGCCACCTCATTCTCCAGCTGCAGAAGCTGATCTCATCCTTCCACAACTGCCCCTTCTCCTTACACCCTGAAGTACAGAGAGCTGTGCTTCCCCGTGTCCCCTCACTGACCTAGGGCTTCCCGAGCGCAAACTGGGACTGACTCAGCTGTCTGCCAGGCCAGCGCATGGTGGGCCCAGGAGAGCTTCTGGACTTGCACCCACTCCCAGGGTGACCTCGAGCAAGCCCTCAGCCTCTCTAAGCTTCAGTTGCTTGAGGGCACGTGACGGTGCGTCTCAGAGCAGGCGGCATTCCTGGTGAGCTAGGCTCTGTTGGCCCTCCGCTGCCATGAGATGCTGGGTAACAACCACACAGCAGCGAGCACGGCTTCTCACATGCTGTGGGTTTCAGGGGCTCAGGGTGCCCTGCTGATCTTGGCGGGCTCCCTGGTGTGCCTGGGTGTCGGCCGGTGTCAGCTGACCTAGGATGGCCCAGGCTGGGATGCTCTGCTCCATGGGTCCCTTGTCCTCCAGCAGGCTCACCCGGGCCCGATCCCATGGGGATGACAGAGAGGCACAGAAAGGAAGCGGCCCTGATGCACGAGATCGTTTGAAGCCGCTGCTGTTTCTGTGTCTGCTCACATCCTGCTGGCTCAGGGAGGTCCCGGCAGAGCACCCACGCGGGGGTGAGGGCCTGCAGAGCTACCGGGGAAGCTCGGGGCACCAGGAGGTATGCAGGACCCTCTGCCACGGGGATGGAGCCAGGACTGGAGCTGGTCGCACCCTCACCCTGCCCTCCTGGCGCCTGGCCCAAGGTCATGTAGGAGTCGGTGCCGAAGCTGGACCAGACCCAGCCTGTCT